AAGATCTAAAGAACATGCCAGAAAAGTCAGAGATACAGACTGGTTAGGTTTTCATTTCATCTCTGCACAGCAGCAACATGTCAGGGGTTGCTTATCTTCAACAGAGGTGATGATACTGGTAAGAACTGATGAAATTATGTTGGCCTCTAACAGGTGGACAGAGCAACACCTGTTAGAGGCTGTAAAAAAACTGAAGTGGAGGCCCAACTATGACCAGGACAATAACAATTCAATCAAAGTTAAAATTAAATAATTTAGATGGAAATATATTTATGTATTAGAAACCCAGAAACCCTAAATCCAATTGGGAATCTGTAGCACTCTCCATCCGATCTGACTAAGCTAAAAAATTATATATATATTATTTTCTTCCACTTCACAGTTAGTTGTTTAGATCTGTTAAAGTCCTAAGAAAATACATAGAAGAAAACTGGAGAAAGACTTCAAGGGGTTTGAAACTGTTTGAAAGACACTATACTTCTGGAGACCACATCAACACTGACTGTGATTTCACATCTGGATAGGATATGTTATGATGTTATTAAAAGACCATACATTTTTACATATCCTACATCTGAAGCACTACTTCTGTAAAATATTCACCTAAACCTAACAACAGCATTTCTCCTCTCACCAACAAAAACATTGAGTCATTCTCCCAACAAACTTCCCAGCAAACTGAAAACAGGGACATTTATTATCCTTGCTTAAACTAAACAAGCACCGTCATTTAAAGTGAGCAACGAGTGCAGTAATGAAAAGCGGTTGGGCCGATTTCCGTTGGTGCTAATCAGAGAACTAAAGTCTCCCTAACAAAGGCAATTGCTTCTCTATACGATCCCTGGCTTGCATTGACTGTGACATGTGCTAGTGTAACATACAAAGTGAAGCAACCTATGCCAGACATTAGCTGCTTCTTGTTCTGCACACTTGTTCTTCAAACAGACCAGCCATTCAAAAACTGATACATCAAGCAAAGAGTTTCAAAGGAATCCAACTGCCAAACCTCCTGGCAGTTTCTCAAAGACGTCCCAAAAAACTTTACAAAGAAACTTCAGAAAACTTTAAAGACTAAATGTTTTCACTCCTGAATGCAAAAGTTCAAAGTGGCGGACATAGTTAAATTGCACACATATATGTATATAAATGCTCCAGCAGAGACCCTATTACCCTTGTCTTCCATGAGGGAAACTTAAAAAAAGAAAAAAAGCTGAAAGAACAACACTCCCTCTTTTTTCAATCAGGGAGGTCAGAGTGTTTTCTCTCATTAATCATACATTAATATTCAGATAAACACAGTCTGTTTTTCTACTTTAGAAAAACAGAACCTTTCTAGCATGTCTACCTCTCCCTTTGACAGACCACTCAGACGTGATTGCCCTCCTCCTTTGTAGAATACACAGCCTATCTGAAGCTGTCAAACGGTTTAAAAATAACATGACTAAAAGAGTGTGTAAACAGGTACTCACGTCTTACGTACAACTCACGGTTAGGTCCCATACGTGACCAACGGATACATACACACACACGTCTGCATTAACATGGCCTAAACCAACCAAAAATCGCCTTGGTGGCCAAACTCCAGGCAAGGGTGGATATCCCATCAGAAATCCTTGGAGGGAATTCTCTTGCGTGAAATGGTAAGTCGAAAGGATCCAGATGTGTACACATGCTCACACCCCCGCACGCACACGCACACATACACACATTCCTTTATTCTGACCGGAGGGAGACTTGGAGAAAGAAAGTCAAGAACATTACGACACAAACAGTGTTGGAGGCATACACCGGCATAGAATACACACTCACACAGAGCCAGAGATAGGGAAATTAAAGGTTAAGAAGATTTAGAAGTTAAAAATAGATAAGGCAGGAGTCAGGAGCTACAGAGCAGTATACTGCCAGCCCTCACAGCAGAGGATACACACACCTGTGCAGAAACACACATTTCTGAACCCACATGCTGTGATAATGTCACATCAGGAGAAAAAGATTAACATTTGGATATTTTTTTTTTTGATGAGGTTCATTATAATCCCAGTTCATTTAATATTCATTCCTATCATTGCAGTGAGATGCCAAATGCAACTCTGGCTGCACTGCGACTGACAAATGATCAGCAGTTATATACATGTGCATGCTCTTGAACAAGCACGTACACTCACGCACCAACACACACACAACACGAGATTGTAAAACTGCATGGCTGAACACGAGCTTAGAGCTCTCCGTATGTTAATCTGGTCCATTGATAAGACCTGCTGAGCTGCTTTCTGCTCTAACACCACACAAAAAACATACTAAAAAACAGGTGCATGCACAAATATTAAAATCCAAACAAAGATAAAAGCAGATAAACAGACTTTTGCGTGAAGTAACATAAGAAAAAAGCTAATGTTGATATCTGAAAATCTGTGTTAAGATTTTTTTAAAAAGAGATGTTCAAGTCTTAGCTATGATGTTGTGAAAAACAAATTGTCCCTTCTGTTTTTGGTTTTTGACACATTTAAAAGTATCATACAGTCAAAGAAACTTCATATCAGAAAATAATGTTCTTGTCAAATACGAAACAACACAAATATTTAACTATTCAAACGTGTTTCCCATGAGAAAAGACAACTGTCTCCATTTTTTTCTATTTACTCAGGACTTTGCCAGGAAGTCCCTTGAGATAAAATTTGTTTTTCAAGAAAGCTATTGAATCACAAATTAACTGTGACAGATATTTTTTTTTTTTAAGGTTGAGTTCAATTTCACCAGACAGGTCTGATTACTGACAGACATTTAAAATCAAGAAAAAGTCTAAACAGAACCTGCTTGACAACAAAAGGGCAAATACTTAAAAAACCTACAACAGAGCTAAAAAAAAAAAAAAAAATTAGCTCCAATGATAAAGTCACGGATTTCATTGATTCAGTTTGGAAAGGGCTGCAATGCCTTTTTCAGGCTTTGAGACTCCAGTAAGTCAGAGTGAGGCCCATTATTTATAAATGGAAAAAATGCAGAATTGTGGTAAACCTTTCCAAGAGAGGCTGTCTGGCCTACCATAAAAAGCTAATGAAGCACCCATAAAGGACATCACAAAATAAACCACAAAAACATCTAAAGCATTGTAGACCTCAACTGCCTCAGTTAAGGTCAGTGCTCATGATTCAACCAGAAGAAATAAACTCTGCAACATTGGCATTTGTGAAAGAGTTTCAATACAAAAACCCAGTCTGACCAAAATGAACACAAAATTGATCTCACATTTACCAAAAATAAAAACCTGCGACAGGCTGGCAACCTGTCCAGGGTGTATCCCGCCTCTCGCCTGGAAAGTTAGCTGGAGATAGGCACAAGCACACCTCCTGAGCCCGCTAGGGACAAGGGTGTTAGAAAATGGATGGACGGATGGACGGACGGACGGATGGACGGACGGACGGATGGACGGACGGACGGACAGATAGACGGATGGATTTGCCAAAAAACATCTTCATGATCTCAAGTCTTCTGGTAAAATATTCTGTCGACTAGCAAGATAATAATTTAATTTCCTGGAACAAGCGCATGCTGCTATATTTGGCGTAAAGCTAAAACATTTTGAGAAAAAAAATAAAACAACATCATAGCAACAGTTAAATATGGCAACACAGCTGCCACAGATAGTTATGTCGCCATTATAAAGGAACCATAAATTCAGAAAATCCTTCAGGAAAATCACTGACCATTAGTGTTTGACCCTAAACTAATTCATACTCGGATTATGTTGCATAAAAATGACCCAAAGCACATAATGACGTCTATTCCTGAGTGGCTACTCAGGAATGGGATTCCTGAGTAGGATTTTGGAGTGGCCTAGTCAAAGTGGAAACTTGAATCTAATTGAGATACTGTGCCTTGACCTTAAAAAAGAACATCCATGGTCATTTTTTTTTAATAGCTGAATTAATGCAACTTTGCAAAGAAAACAAAGCTGGTTTTCCCCAGAGATGCAAAACACTCACTAAATTGCTCGATGGCAGTTACTGCTGCCATTCAGCCTGTAAAATAATGTTATTAATACAAATCATTGAAAAACTTTGAGGAAGGCATACACACCTCTCTCAAATGCATGTTCTCCAAGTGGACATCAGCTTCCTGGGCTGCCATGGTAATAATGCCTGTCCGCTGTCCTCGTCCCCACTGTCCCTGACCCTGAAGCATCTCCAGCAGCCTCTGGATACTCTCGTCTCGTGCACCCAGCGTCTGCTTCTGGGAGTCGATTCTCATCTCCATCTCTTCCATAGTTTTCCTCAGCAGGGACAACTCATTGGCTTGACGCTCATGTTCTGACTGCAGTCGGAAGAAGTTTTCCTCTGTTGGATCCTGAGGAGGAGGTGAAGAAAAGCCGTCGCACCCAGGCACCTGACAGGGGCTACATGGATGACGGGGGCTAGAGCTGGGCAGTGCTCCCTGGCTAGGACTGTAGAGGGGCTGGCTTGGACTGTTCCTTTGCCCAGGCTGAAGGGTGTTGGCTGGGCTAAGTCTCTGCGTAGCTGCCAATGTATTACACCCATAGCCAGGACTGTGAATGATGATGTCAGCCTCTTGTTGCCTTGGATTGTAGGTGTTCGATGGACTGGCTTTGGGGCTGTTCTTAGGTGCGGGACTGTGCAGGTTTATGGAACTTTGTCTGGGACTGTGGCCAGGACTGAGCCCCCCTCTGAACTCCTGGTCCATATGGTGTTCTCGATAGGAGCTGCTCTGCTGCCGCTGTTGCCGCAGGCGAGTGTTCGTCTCTCTGTGAGCTCTCAGCTCCTCCTGTAGCTCCTGAACTGTCAAAGGAAGTTGCTGAAACCACAAAGTGAAATTTCTTTCAGTAATCATTCAAATTCCAAATGGCCAAAAATGAGTACAACACATACACATATATAAAAACAACAAATAAAACAGACCTTGTTTCTTCTTATATCCCCCAGCTGTAGCAGAATGGGATAAAAGAAACACAGACACATAATGCCAGTAAAGCTAGAGGGTGGTAGTTACACAACTAGGCCACAAGGGGGCGGACTTTCTCTTAGAAATACGTAGGTACAAGGGGCCAGGATTTGTAGTTGACATACCATTAGAGTGGAAAGGTAGAATAAAGTTGGCTATTTGTGTGAACTGAGTTCACTGGCATACTTACTAGAGTTAAACAGAGTTAAGGAAACTAGAGTGAAATACTTGAAAATAGTTTCCATATTCTAAATTACTAAAAAATTCAATATTGTTTGACAATATTCTGTTTTTGTTACAAATAGAAAAATACATGAATATATTAAGCTAATCTCATAAATCTCTAAAGTTGACTGTACGTAATGATAATGTTTCTGCAAGATTATTAATTATGAAGAACATTAATACACTGGACAGGTGTCTCTGACTTTATGTTTTCCATTATTCAAAGTGCATCAAAAAGGGACAAATCTAACCGAACATCTGGTAACCATAAACAGCAAAGCAAATAATTAAAAATTTCTAATTGACAAGAAGCTGAAAATGAAAGTTGCATTACCATGGAGATTAAATTTAGAAGGGAAAGACATAAAAAGTTATCCACAAAACCCAAGTTTTCATAACGCCTCTATAAGAATTATTACAGCTGTTTCTGTAGCAGCTGTGTCCTTCGGTATTCATTGTAGGGGATTTCTGTTTCAACTGCTACCTTTTTTTAGAAGACACAATAGAGGTTCATAGAATTTTGTACACACAAAATTGTGATAATAAGTTCAGGCTATGTTATTCCTAAAATTATAATTAGGTGACAGAGTCTTTGTACTTAGGGGACACAGTAAATTAGATCAACAAGCAGCTGAAGACTTTATTTATTTATTTATTTATTATTTTATAACTTTTTAATCCTTGAGTCATTGTGTGTTTTCTTTTTTGCTGGGGAGAACCATGGCATTACTATCTTAAAAAAAAAAAGAAAGAAAGAAAAAAGGAGCTTCTTTACAGGTTCGGTTAGTTTCATTTGTTTTGTTTTGTTTTTTGTTTCCAAGATCTTTAACACAACTAAAACCAGGAAATTCTAAATAATGGTTTCATAAAGATAAACTACAGCAATGACTACTAGGGGTAAACTATATTGCACATAGTAGTCAATGAGAAGATTCATAATGTTTTGGACAGCATCACTGTTTGTCCAATGTTTTAGTCAAAAAGACTATTCTGCCAATCACATGAGTTTTCATACTTTACATGGACTGCTTTTTCCCTTACACTTTTGACTTCACATCCTCGGGACAACAATTTATCAAGTGACTGTTACTATCTCAAGTCATCCCTCACCAGGCCCACTGACAGACAAGGCTTCAGTCTGGCTGCATAAAATAGGTAAAACTAAAAAAAATTTGTCAGAGGACAAAAAGGACAGAACTTGTTCTTAAAAGTGAAGAAGAATATGATTATTTTAATAACTATATTTTTTGAGGAAGAGAAACAATATCTTCAACGATATTCAAACAATGACAGGTGGAACGACGCTGTACGTACCATACTATGAAAGACATCGCTGCTAAAAACAGTAATGATCAAATAATTACTATAATTGTGACAGCTGAGAAATTAGACTACTGCTTTAATGACATCTGTGAAAAAGCAGTTTAAATGTAACAACAACAACAAAAAAAGGATTTTACTGCGTGCTTCAAAAAAGCATTTGCCCTCTACCAGATTTCTTCGTTTTTATTTGTCCGGGTTTTTGTCACAGTCAGATGCTTCAGGTCAACAAACAGATTTTAATAACAAATGTAACCAGACTTATTTTAGTTTTCAAATGGTGACTGAATTTATTTATTTAAAAAGTAGTTTCCCCCTTTTGAACTCATAAAGTAAATGACTTTTTTTTGTGAGATTTATCTATCTCAAATAGGCCTAATTATAGATGCACCTGTAGAATAAAATTGTCACTTAGTAGAAAATTAAAAATCTCAAAAAGTAGAACCATCATGACTCAGTCTAAAGAATTGAAAAAAAAAAACTGATTAAAAAAATGACTGACAGCTATTAAAATATAAAGGGCTACAAAAGCCATTTCTAAGGGCTTGGGTCTCAAGTGAACCACAGTTCATACTTAGTGGAAGCCATGCACACTGTGACATTTGGCATAAATTTAGACTGGCACTACTTTTTGCTCTTCATTTTTGATTTCCAGCTTTTTTCATTGAACACATGAAATCCTCATTTGAAAATAGCCATTTTTAATTAGCCCTTCTTGTTTGATAGTCAGAAACATTTAAGTGTGGCAAAAATGTAAAAAATATGAGGAAGTCTGTAAAATAGCAAGTATTTTGTCCCACCACTGGACATGTCGCAAATGCTTCAGACACACCTGACATGTAGATTTGCGTAACAGAGTCTTTCAAGCAGTAGAGTCCGACTAGTTTTGATAGCGATAATCTATGCAAAAACAAATAAATTTGTTAGAAAACCCCTTTAATATTTTGTCACTTATAGTAATCATTAGTGGGAATCCTTTACTTGTTTTTCACGCCAACACTGATTTCTGTGCTCCTGTGCAGAAGGTGGGGAGTGCCAAGGACACAGAGTGGAGATGCAGAAGAGCGAGGCGAGGGAGTTTATGGATAATCAATGCAACATCTCACACTGAATAATAAATTAGAGTGGGAGGACAGTCCTTCTCAAAAACACACACAACCGAGACTGTAGATACACAAATGCTTATGTGTACAGTGTACACATTCACAAATCAAACAAACACACACACACGCCCAACACACAAATGGCCAGAGGGGAAAGGTCAAATGAGTGCAGATGAAAGAAAAGGTGACATTCCTTATGGTAAACTGCAGCTATCGTGTAAGATTCACCTGTTTCCCAGAGACTCACAGAAAGATAAAAAGTTTTAAAAAGGAGAAATGGAGGAGAAAAATAGAGAAGAAAAAGATAAACTGAACTGGAGGTAAGTGAGAAGATAAAGGGTGACCTTTTCTTTTTTTGTAAGAGTTGGAGACACTGAGTTATAGCGCTGGCTGAGGCACAGGGAAAGACATGGTTGCTCTTTAATGAGTGGTCAAATCAATATTGTGAAGAAAACTGTGAGCAACTTGAGCTCAACAGCTGTGGGCGGGTGCGTATGAGACACAGACAATGGCAGAGAAAGACACAAGCAGAGACAGAAGGCAACACAAAAAAACATGTTCTCTGACTATGACCATTTGCTTTTAACGAAGCTTTTAGTTGCCTTTTCTAAAATTGCTTTCAAAGCTTTTAATTGCTTGGAAAGAAATACATAAATTAATATCAGGCAACGAAATTTGATTTGGTTAAGGTAGAATGACCTTGTTCACAGAGTCCGAACAGATTGAGCAAATTAAAATGCGAAGGTGCAATCAAGGACAAGTCAGCTCACCATGTTTCAGACAAAGAAAATGATGTTAATCAGCAGTTTTTAAGCATATTTGAGAGCAAAAAGGCTGTCTCATATTCGTTTCTAATTAATCCTTCTCTCCTTTTTACATTTTCTGACTTCATGTGTCATGCATGCGTGTTTTGTTACAGTATAGTGCCCTTACACTTTATGAGCGAGTGAGATAAAAAAGCAATAAATGAAAAATGCAGAGGAAGCTCCTAGGTTACAGCAGGAGGATGCAGATATTGTTTTTTGTGTGTGTGTGTAAAAGCAACAAAACAATCACAGTTCCAGCTTCTGTAATTTGTGAAACCTCAAACAACTTTAAAAAAAAATCGGAATAGCATTACTATGTAGTATTTAGATATTCTTCAAGAAAAAGAACAGACACACAAAGATGTAAAATGCCCAATAAAGAGAGAAACAGAAGGGCACCAAGATAAAAAGCCAAGGGAGGATAAACAAAGAAGACAGTGGCCATGCGGTGGGTGAGGCAGACAGATGGATAACACCTCTGAATGAGTGGGACAGACTCCGGGGGAGAGACTGCACAGGACAGACTGGTCACCATTCCTTCGGCAAAAGCTGTTGAGCCCTTTGAGAACCCGGCAAACCCGGCAAACACCTTGAGCATGTTCCCATGGAAACACATGGAGGTAGCATGGAAAACACTGTTACGTCAAAACGGCAGCCAAGCTATTCAGTGTAACCTTGAAGATGAGAACAAATGGGGTTTTGACAGAGTGATTTTCAGAGATGAACACAAAACAACTGAATGCAACTATTGAATAAACACACTGAAATTACTTTTTGATATTTTATCACCTTACAATAACTACGTGTTTACTTATTATTCCTTATTACTCCATAGGGCGGACCAACACAAAGGAGTGCACAGCTGTAAAGTGGAAGGAAATTGCTAAATGTATTATTTTTTTTTTTTTTTCAGTTTTTAACTATTTCACTAATAAAAATAAGTGGTATTGTACTAACCACTCCAAATCGATACCAGAACCACATTTTATTGCACTTGCAGCTGTAGAACCTCTGGGGAATGAGTTTTCATATGTACTAGAATTAATTGCTTATTCTTCTCTGCAAATACCTCAAACTCAGACACAATGGTTAGTTAATGAACAAATTTTTCCACAGACTCTCAAGTGGCTTTAGTAAAGTTGCAACAATCTACAGGCCAATAATTATAATGGCCCTTCATTTTCATTCTAAAATGCAACATCATGTACTTTGATGCACTTCCTTCATTTTCCGTTGCTACCTCTTTACAAAAGCCTCTGGTACAAGATGTTTTCCGAGGTTTTGCTCTTGGACAGAAAAACTTAAAAGGAGTGCAGACAGAAAGCAAGAAACAGAAATCCTTATTGGGCAAGAAGCACAGAATTGGTGCATCTTCAATACCTAGGCTAATGGCAATTCAAGGAGGTTCAACAAATGTGTACCAAAGCTCAGATTTTCATTTGAAACAGTGTTTAAGAACCATGTAAGATTGTTTCCTTTTTCTTTACAATTATACACCATTATTTGTTGATCTGTTTCATAAAATCCGAATAAAAAAAGTTGAAGTTTGAGGCTGTAATATGTAAAAGTTCAAGTAGATAGGGCACTGTAGCTGTCTGCTTTCTCACCTGTAAATCTTCTTGGTTCACTCTGCACTGCTCCTTTAGAGCTGGCGTCCTTACTCCCTCTTCACGCCTACTCCCCTTGTCTCTCTTTACATCAGGGCTCCAGAAATTAACACTATTCGTGCCATAGCCTGTCTTTCCATCCCTCCCTCCATCCAGTTCCCTCCGGAGACTTTCATTCTCTCTCTGCAGATCCCTCAGCTGAGCCTGGAGATCACAGGTGGAAACCTCTCCCCGATCATCCGAATCCAGTGTTTGTGTGCATCTTCCAAACTGTCGTCGCAAACTGGAAGTTCCTGTAGAAAACACAGTTGGGTCTCCACAAGAGTCTGATATGTGGTGCATACCAGAGGTCGTGATGTTTGGGGTGCTTCCAATTGCTGTACTGCGACCAGTGTAAGACGAGCGGCTGGTACTCCGCCCTAATGTCATGGTACTTTTAGGGTATCCACCAGAGTTTTCCAAGGACTCCCGCTCGTTGGGATACATGGCGCCAGAAGTGGCATAGGCCGCACTTAAAGACTGGATGTTCTCCATGGACATGGTTTTGCCACCTGGAGCCGTTGCTGAACCACGAGCTGATCCTTTATCCGCGGTTGATGTGTTGACTTTAAGTCTTGAGCCAACCTTTGAAACTGAACCTTGTGCTCCGGTCAGTTTAGCTGCTGGTGGAGGCCCACCCCCTGACACAGAGCCAGGCTCAAGTCCTGATCGGGACCCAGGACCTGAGCTGACGGCCTGCTTACCTTTTCCCTGTTTTGCAGACCTCGAGAAGCGTGAATGAGATGAGCTGCCATCATTTTGCCCACCACTCTTTGCGGCAGCAGGAGTCAGCTTGCCGTGCGAGGGCTTGGCTCTTATGTTTAAAGGCATGGTTGTATGGCAAAATATAACATCTGGAAGCAAATTGTCACAGACAGGAAAACTGGGCTATCCATTTGTGGAATAAGAATAAGCAATGGGAGTAATAAAGGGCACTTATTCACAGCTCACTATTCACTTGTCCATGGCTGACTGTGCAGGAATTGAGACTTATTTAGTCTGTTGTGAAGAAAATATGAGGCTGTTGGCAGTGAGGCTCCAAGTGACATAGGCAAGATGTCTCGGATTTTCAGTTACACTGCAGGTCATCATGGATTCTAGGCAGCAAAAAGTAAGACAGACATACAAGAAGTACAGAAATGCGACAACAAGAAATAAGATATTAAAAATGGGCAAAACCAACACAACTTTAAACAGTAACCATTTGTATGCTCACACTAATACTGTTCTTTTCAAAAAGGCGATCAAAGTTGTAAACTCTACTCAACAACTTCAAGATTAAGTGTTTTTCTTCCCACTGCAGAAATTGCAAATGTTGGGAGAACTGGACATCAACTTATTTGCTAATAATGAGATTATAGATCAGTAGCAGAGTACAGAAAACAACTAAGTGCTCTTAAATCAGCATTCACTGTGTCTTAAGTACAAACCATTAGTATCCCAGTCTCTACATCCCAAACCAAAAGTGAAAAAGGAAGGATGTGGATAGGTGTGATTAATTTAGCGCCACAACGTGTATTAAATGAGAACTTAAATGTCTGCAGAAGTCTGACAAAAAAAGAAAACATTGTGCGGAATGCTTTGTCCTCAAGAGACTGCAAAGAGAATTGAAAGACCACTCTTCATTACATCCCATCCCTCTGGGCCAATTTCAAATTTACAGTCAGACTTTGAAAGGCTGTACACACCTCAGGCTTCAACTATAAATAGGGGACAAAAAATAGGTACTTTGAATTTAGGCCAAATCCTGCTTGGTACATCATGTGATAGAAATCAACATGAAATCAGCGGGCTGTTAATACATGTGTATGTATCATATTAAGTGGTAATGAAGAAACTTCTTGGGTTTAGCATGTTAAAAACAATACTATATTAACATTTTCAGACAAATAAAAAAGTTCCCTTAGACACCCAGCATGTTGGGGGAGCAGACATTGAGAACTGACTATAAAGCAGAGGCAAATCCAAATCATAATCCCTCCTCTAATCTAAGAGGATTGGGTACTTGGAGTCCCTTTACAGGATACAACTGAGGGACTGGTTAAATCTGCCTGTCAATCATAACATAGCTGTCAATCCCTTATCTGTTATTGCTCGGGACAATAAACGGAATGTCATGTACATGAGATGTACAGTTGTCTAAATGACAATAAATTGGGCTTATAGAAAAGTACTATGCAGTTTTTCTATTCAAAGTGAGACCATGCTAAAATAGATTCTACACGTGGTTAAAAAAAAAAAGAAAGTACACACATGCTAGCTAGTACCTATAAAGCTTTTTTCTATATTACAAATACTGAGGTGGAGGTGCCACAAATAGCTGGTTCATTAAAGTGAATGCCAGCGAAGTACAGTATATGCCGCTAAATGTTTTCGTTTTTAAAACGAAAACAATAAATAAAATCAAATACGCACAGGGAAACTGAAAGGGGGTGGGAATGCTCGATTTAAATGCGCGTCTGGCATTAAATCAGTCCACAAGCGCCTGCAGCTTACTTTGGAGTCGACAACCAGCTGTTGCTGTGGAGATAAAAGTGGAGTCACCACCCTTACTGCGAAAACAGAACACCTTCAAAGCATAATGATTTATTATTCATAGTAAAAGGGTTTAATAAGTAGTTTAACATAGTTTAAAGCTATACGAACAACCTACCAAGAAGACCTTATAAGTGACCAGGCAAGCCGGGCACAGACGCCCAAACAATTCTACTACGACCACGGCATAAAGGATTAGTTTCTAGCATCTACACGGCCACACGAGTCCGAGCTTGTATCTTACATAAGAAATAATCTGTCACGCAAACTGACCGCAGTCAATTTTAATTTATATTCATAGAATAGCATCACATAACGCTCCCACCTTACAAAAAAAAAAAAAAAAAAGTCCAGGTGCGCCCTGTACGCGCAGCTCCATCTTACCGGACAAGCAGCTCTCCATCACCGCTCAGTCCCGTCGGCCGTATCCCGTCCGACCTCCGCGCAGCCTCCATGATCTCATCGGCTCAGCTGTGACCTGTCCTACCATCGGGTCCGCGTGGGCGCGCTAACCCAGCTGGCGCGTGCGCGAGCAAGAGCTGTGGTAGGGCAGCACGAGCGAGCAGTGATTGGACGATTTAATTTTCCACACAGATACCATTTTAAAGCAAATATTCATAAATCTACACATCACATGCGTCAGTGAATCAGTATGATAATTGCATTTCATTAGAGTACATAAACTGTAACATTAATACGTCTGGCAAAGACGTGTAAACATTTTTTTTTTTTTAAATGGGAGATTATTTTCTTCCAGCAGTATTATCTCACAAATAAAAATGTAAAACAGTTAAACCGTTTATTTTATTTTTATTAGTAGGGAAAAAACTCAGACAAAAGTTATTCTTTGTTTAATATCTCTGTCACGCTGCTTGATACCACTATTACAATTGTGATTTTGAGATGTGTTTATAAATATATATTTTGTTAGTGCATTTTATGTAAGTTTGTAATTCAGAAAATTCAGAAAATCATGCATGTGTGCATGATTTTAATAATTCTTTTGTGTCTTTTAAATTAGCGCTCACTGGTAAGCATATTTAACATGTGTCCCTTCCCCTGGTAAACTGAATCAAATCATCTTGTCAATATGGCTTCAAATGCACCAGAAATCATGATAGTGTGACCCAAAGACAAGGGTTGGGATCCTCTGCTCAACAATACATTTCCAACATATTGGATGCTAGATTCATTTTTTTGTTTTTTCTTTAAAGATACACCTCAGTATTCAGACTTCTTTGATAAGGGACTGTCCACGCACATCTGACATTTTCACTTGGTAATAGTAGCCCACTCCACCTTGCAAAAGACTAGGCTATTCCAAAACTATTAAATTTCTGTTTCAAAACTATTCAGGCTTTTTATTTCCACCCAACCAAAGAGAAGTGAAACTTTCAGAGTTGTGGGTATCTTGCAGGTACATCACATACTCTCTTGTAATGTTTAATAAATCACATAAAACAATGTCAATTTGTTTGTATACTGCCGTAACTGAATCCCAATTACTTTCGTAGCACCCAAGACCCACTTGTTCTTCAGCACATCTTTGGTAAGGTTAAATATAAATTAATCAAAATGAAAAAGAGAAACCATGAAATTGGAATTGTTTAATAAGTAAGAATAATTTTAAAGACCTAATGTGGTAACAAATACAGCTCAGAAATCTTAAAGAAAACTGAATCCTATAAGGTAGTAAACTTATCTGTCTTTGTGTCTTTTACATAAGCTACACCATCACACCTGTGTTCAGCCTTCTGTGACATCAAAAAACCGTTACAAGCCATCATCTGTTTTGCTACAGAGTTTAATTTTGCTCCAAAAACTGAAATACAGACAGATAAAGAAACAATAAAACATTAATGAAACTGTCAGTTTGTTAAAATGAGGTCAGATGGAAATATATAAATTCTACAGTACAGTCCAGAAGAAAAGTTTCTACCTCCTCACTAAGTTCTTCTGTTTTTTATTTTTATTTTTTTGTGACACTTCAATAAATCAAACTTTTATATCAGACAATACATAATCAATGGATAGATAAATTCTGCTCTCTACCAGAAAATTCAGAGGAAAATTGTTATCTATTTGTAGCATTAAACTCAAATAAACTTGTTCACCTGGACCACTTATTGAATAAATGGAATAAAGGTTTTAGAGTGAAGTCCAATTGCCATAATGTGTCATGACTTTAAGGAAGGGATTTATGCTGGATAACATTCAATATGGCTTAATTAAAACAACTGTGCAAAGAAGGAGTGGGCAAATTTCCTTCTAGTACCTAGATTTAAAGCGTTATTGGAGGGAATTACTTTTTCATATTGCACCAGGTTGGTCATCACCATTTCCCCCCCTAAAAACTGAAAACATTTATTTATTTTTTTATATTTAAACCCCAAGTATCTTTGTTTAATATAAAAATTAATTTGATGAAAAAAAAAAAAACAGAAAAGAAAAAGAAAAACAAAACTTAAAAGCAAAAACAGAGCAAATCTGTAAGAGGGTAAATATTTTCCCAGGACTTTAATTATTTCACTTAACAATCATATAAAACTTTCACTCATGTTATTGTCATAAAACTTGAGATTATCAGATGACAATGCCATTCTCATCTGGTTCCAGAAAAGGGGTTGAGCTCTTGGGTTTCTCGGCCAGGACAACACAGACTTCCTGCACAGTCTCTTTCTGAGTTGGAGGTACTTTAGTTTTGGAAACATTTCATCCAAGAGAACAACCACAGCTGCATCAACCTTAAATAGAAAGTTTCAGAAATATGTTAGGGCTATGAAAAGATTACAACATCCGCACAGCATACAAAAAAAAAAAAAAAAAAAAAACTGGGAAAATACCTTTTCGTCAAGAAGCCTCTGCTGAACCATGAAGAAAGCTTGTCGGATTACACCGTTGACCATCTCAGTTCCATTTGTGCTCCTGGACAGCACAAACACTGTCTTCACACTGCTGTGAACAGCACTGTGTAAATTATCGATACATGAGAGGCCAGGTATCCAGTCCCTCTCTTCTAAACAGAGAGAAAATCTTCTGTGGCCAGAGCATTCCAAGTTAGCAGTCAGCTCATTGTAAACCCAATCCCTCACAGCGAGATTCCCGGTGTCAAAAACCACAAAAGCGTCGTAGTGATGATCTGAAACACCACCGGGCAGCTGGGAGTAGCCTTTGAGTCGTGCCCAGAAGACTTGCAGGCAGTACCACACATCCCAGCCGTAGAGATGCTTCAGCAGAGGAAGAGCAGTAAATGTCATAGATAAGAAAGAGCAAACTAGGAAGGCTAAGCTACCAAAGATGTCCTGGCAGGAATGTTGGTCTATGGACAGAAGAATCACACCTTGTTGAGAGTCTGGGTATCCACAGCGCACTCGTGTTGTCAGATAAGGAATGTTTACTGGAGTAGTCCGCAAGTAGACAACGAACCATGAAGTATTACAGTCACATTTAAATGGGTTCTCGTGCAGGGTGAGTGTCTGAAGGGTGCTCCCCTTTTGAAAGGGTGCAGGTAGACGCTGATGGTTCAACTCTTTGATCTTATTGTGATTGAGATACAGATGCTGCAAAGACCTTGCTTCATTGAAGAAATTGTCAGGAATTGAGGTAAGGTGATTGTGACTCAGGTCCAGAAAGGAAAATTGGTCTCCAAATTTTATTTCCTGGGAAACCAAATTACTTAGAGAGTTGTAGCTTAGGTCCAGATGACATAAGTTGCTCAGAGCTGAAATGTTTTGCCAGGGAAAATTCTTCATGGAATTTCTGCTGATGCAGAGGCTCTGAAGGCTCACTGGGAGGTTACACAGTACTTCTGCTTTGAGTGACTTCAGGTTATTGCTGGAGATATCCAGGAATTTCAGCTTTGTTAGGTTCTGAAAGAAATGAATGTATGTTTTGTAGTCAGCATTCCACATGATGTCCAGATGATTACCACTGAAGTAGAGGTATTGCAAGGACCTGCTGACCAGCCTTTGATCTATCCGCATCCCGATGCCATTGTTAGCTAGACTCAGCACTTCCAGGTTAGTCAGATTTTTAAGAAACTCAAAACGATGGCCCATTCCTCTCATCTTGAAGTGAAAGTCATTATTACTGACATCCAATACCTTCAATGTAGACCGAAGTTCACTGAAAGCATCATCACGATAAAGATCCAGCCTATTGAAGGACATGTTAAGAAAGACTAAATTTGTCATGCTATTGAACTGCCCACCCCTCAATGTCTGACTCATGTAGTTGTATGAAAGGTCTAGACAAACTGCATTTTCCATGCCTGAAAACACTCTTTTATTAAGTGATAAGATGTCATTTTGAGAAAGGTCAAAAGATAGCTTTTGCCAACAATACTTATTTTTAAAGCTCTCAAGAGATGGAATTTGACACTCGCTGCCATCTGTCGTTTCTGGTCCATTAGACTGGTCAGATTGCCAAATGTGGCTACTAGTTCTTGTTTCTCTGTCTGGTATGAGAGTGTGTACGTCTTGGAAATCACCTGAATACAAGTTCTGGTTCTGACAGCTGTCTGATTCTGCAGTTCCAGCTGATTCAGAACAGCATGGAAGGAAATTCAGCATATTTTGGGAGAGGTCTATGGCAGTGAGAGATGGTAGCTGCTTCAGGGAAGTCAAATTGCATTCGCTAATAAAGTTCATTCTCAGTTCTAATTTTGACAGACTTTTGAGTTGAGACAGAACATGGAAACCTTTTTTTGATATGGTATGGAAAAAGTTCCCACTGAGTAAAAGCCTTTGCAAACCCGATATGTTGCCAATGTATGGAGAGAGATCCAGTTTTCCAAAGGTCTTCAGCGGTTCATAGTTGTAAATGAGGCTAATCCAAGTGAGGCCAGTCAGCTCTTGAAAAAAGGTGCCATTTTGTATAGCAAATGCCAGGAGATTGTCAGAGATGTCCAGTCCCTTTAAATTCTTCAATGGCCTAAAAAGACCATCTGGAAATGTTTTTAGGGAATTTCCTCTTAAGCTCAGAAATGTGATGGAGCTGTTTTCAGAATACAGTGAGTTGGGATGCAGCAGGAGAGGGCGATTTTGTGGGCAAGGGAAGCAGGGCCGTGCTGCATGGTCGCAACGCTGACAGTTCCACTCCAAATTCAGATACTCGAGGGCTGTCAGGTTGGCAAATGACCCTTCTGGGACCTCTGTCATTGTATTCTCTCTTAAATCCAGCACCTTCAAAGAAGCTGGCAGGTCTTTTGGGACAGCTGTTACATTATCATACCCTAATGTAAGGTTTTTGAGTTTAGGTAATCCTCCAAAAACAGTTGCATTGATGTAAAAAGACTGGTTGCAGGGGTTGGCATAAAAACAGTTCTTGGAGAGTAGCAGAGTCTCTAGATTTGGAGTCTTTAAAGGGGCAAATATGTTAAAGATGCAATTGTACTGCAAATCAAGAAACAGCAAGTTTTCAGGTAAGTTTGGTATAGATGTGAGGCTGTTTCCCGACAGATGCAGAGATGTAAGATTTTTAAGGAACTTGAAGGCATGGGGCTCAATTTCCATGTTGCATCCTTGCTGCTCTGGGAGCCTAAGTTGACCTGGGAGACAATTACCTTTTATTTTTAAAATATTAACGTTTGGGACACCTGCAAATGCATGGTTCCTCACTGCTTGCACCTTAGTGCCACTCAAATCGATTGATAAAACAGTCGCAGCCTTAATGATCGGGATGTGCTTGATAGGCCTGTTAGAGCAGTCCACTGTGGTTGAATTCACATCAGCGTCGCATGGAAAAAACTGGATGTTGATTGCGTTTCCATATAGCAGAAACTGACTCATGATAAGAAGAACTTTTTCCAGAGCCTGAAAAAATTTACCAAATTTCAATAAGTCAGAAAATATTGTAGAAGCATGCAGTTTAACTTAAGAAAGTTTATCAACACATTGAATAAATCTTGCATTAAAAGAAGCTTTAAAATCACTACCAACACACTTTAATTCCCAATGTAAAATGTATCCAGTTCCATAGCTTAATATTTTTAAAGGGAAACACTACATTTACAAGGGTAGAAAAAAGTCCACTTACCATATCAGATTAAAAACAAATCATAATAGTTTGAGAAAAACTTTGTAAGCGTTATTCCTCTTGAAGAGACGACAGTGTGTAAATTGTCCAAAAGTGTCTGCAGTAAAACGAAGCAAGATGAATGCAGAAGTGAAACCATGTGGTCAAATATGCAGTAGTATGATGCAAAGCATGTGACATAAAACAAGGAATGAGGAACATCAGCTGCAAGTTTAACTGAAGTAATTTAATACACTTTAAAATAATATTTGTTTTTATGAGTTTTTTATAATACGCTCTTTAGACTATATTAAAAATAAGTTTTTTTTTTAGATACTGATGTCCTCTAAGGGAAGAAAGACAGAGGAAATTCTTCAATTCTGAACAAATGTAGGCGTCTTGGGATTTGGGGCATTGACAATCATACAACACAGATTTGAGATCACCTAGACCATTACACAATAACTTAAATGGTTTTATCTTGCACATTTTTTAACATGCACTGTAATTTTTTTTGTTTTTTTCTCAGTGTCTGACATTTGGTTTGACTGTTTCTATTTAAGGTAAAACTGTTGTAAGCTTCTTTCAAGTGGACATGCATTTCCTTATAGTATTTGGCAGAGGTATTGTGTAAACTGACTTTAGTCTAACATTTTGGACCTTCTCACAATACAGTAGTTTGCTGAAATTTTTGACTATTCCTCCATAGTACCTTTTAAACTATGTCAGATAAGAAAAATGTTTATGTCTTTTCAATCGTATACGAGCGCTACACCTTTGTAATGGTTCCCTCCATTAAGTAAAAATTTGTGCAGGATGATGTATACTGATGCAGACATGTAGTGAGACACAGACAGCTGTGAAAATGTATCACTAGAGGAAGTGATACATCTTCACAGCTTCTAAAAATTATCACTCGATCTAAATTTATTGACATGCATTGGTATGAGGAGTCAGGGACTGCTAAGCGTCATGTGGTGGCTCACAGATGTAGTATCTTTACTACAAACTGTAAACAAAATATATTCACTTACCAAAAGAAATAACAAAAGTAAATATTATTTGCAGGACATTTAACTATGTGAACAGAAATAATAATAATAATAAAAAAACAACTAAGTCTCTTCTTCCTGTTTACATATAGTTTGTGGTCAAATGTTTACTTTCAACATGGACATGTAATATAGGGTGCATTCAGAAGCGCTTTTACCTAAGCTTATTGGAAGAGAAAAGTCTCCTAACTCACCTATACGAAAATGCATTTAAAAACTTGACTCACACAGTGAGCTTTCTTACAATTGTTTTATTAAGTGCACAAAATGGTACAATCAAGAGATTTAGCTAAAAAAAAAAAAAAAAAAAAAAAAAAATCACCCAAGCAGAAGAAAATCTCTAAAAAAAGAGACTGATTATAAATGTTATTCTTTTCATGTAATCACAGAGAAAGTCGAAATAATTAAAAGCCCTTTTGATTTTCTGATTCAAATTACAGAAGAAAGAAAAATCAAGTCAGTATTAATAAAATGTTTCCATCGAGTCAAATATTTTATTTAAGTGTAATATTATTATATTTTTAATTGTTTGTCATCCTCTTATGCAATACTCAAAATTAACAACAATACCCACAGATACATTATGGGTTACGCACAGTTATAGTGTATTCTAGCTGAAGATCAGTTGTCCATGTTTTGGCTTTGGATTGGGCCTTATAACATAAAAATAAGTTTGCAACTAATGTCCTTTAGTCTTTTTGCACATTACAGCTATCTTCGTTATGTCACCATCACAGACCTAAGTGTTGAATTATCCACAAAGCGATGTTCATGAAACCATCTGATTCTGCATCCACCTTGGAAAGAGAGTGGTTGTTTCCAGGGTACCACAGTAACCTGTGCAAATATAAGTTAGAGCATTAATAAACAAACAGCAAAGCACATTGACTGCATTCATATTGCTGTAAGGGCATCGCCATGTAACTCAAAGTGTGTTTGTGAATAGAAAGCATTTCCATTCTGTAAGCTATGGCAACTTTTAATGCGTAAGCTACACAGTCTGTTACGCATGAGGCGCCTGGCCAGTGCTTACCGGACAGGGATCTGCTTTGCTTTCAGAGCTTTGTAGTATTCAATTCCTTGCTTGTTAGGGACACGCTTGTCATCTTCCCCTAAAGTCAGCAGCACTGGGGTCCGAACCTTAACCAGATAATAACTTGCATGAGATCACTACAACAAAAGCAGTAAAGTCAGAAGTACGCATCCGAGATTTACATAAATGTACCTGAGGGACGTATTTGATAGGGGACTTGTTCAACATCTGTTCCCAAACGGCAGGATCAGGGAGGCAATCTGGAGTGTAATCGTATCCAGCCTCAACGACACACCTGCAAAAAAGGTCAACATTTAATTTACGTCTCCATAAACCAATTATAAAACACCACAGCTTTGTAATTGCTCAAGACTTTCACCACAGGAATCACCAAAATACAGACAAGAGTGTTGGGATGTTTTACAACTAGACTCACCAATCCGGGATATCCGTGCTGCCAATCATGGAGGCCAAATTGATGACAGGATTGCGAGCCACACAGGCTTTGTAGAAACCTGGGTACTGGCCAATTAGATGGCAGGCTAGAAACCCCCCATGGGAGCCCCCAGAAATGGCCACTTTCTCCCTGTCAAACTCAGCGTCTAGGACACTTTCAACAGCAGCCTGGAGGAAGTAAAACACAAATGACAGACTATGTAAAAGACAATTTGTAAATCCCACAGAGAGTGATCAAGGGAGAACAAAACAAGAACATCTAAAAAGAGCTCTGTTGTTATGAGCCATGTTTTACATCTATGGCAACTCAAAGTCATTATATATAGAGACCAATAGAGTACAAACAGTAACAGATTACCAAAGGCAATACTGAAATTCATTTGTTTTCAGCAGGAGCTCGAGATGTATTTAAGGCTCATTTCTGTTTGCTTAGAAATGAATCCAATTGTGCACTTGCTCAGCATATATCTACACAAAAAAAAGTAAAACTTTATTGTAATTTATTAGAATTTTCGTTATATATCAAAGCAAAGTAATTTAGAATAATTCCAGTTCAGTAGAGAGAGTATATGAAAAGAAAATGGACAATGGGAAAATGAGAGGACTTGAACTTTACCAGCAGCAGGCTTATTTTTTGGGTTTATTTGGTCCTCAAATAGTGCTGGCTATGATCTTACCTGAACATCCATGACATCCTGGGAACCCACGTTGCCCAGCAGTGAGAGGACGCTGTCCTGGCCAAAACCAAGAGAGCCACGATAGTTTACTAAAAACAGAAACGGCACATTCAGAAGCAATCCCACAAGCACCAACATCCCTGGTAATGTTTAGCTATATTTCTATGTAGATAAATGCACGCTACATTTCAATGAAGATTTCTTATATTTATTTATGCAACATCTGCATTGTTTGAGGGTTTGAAACAAAGTTACCTGAGAAATATTTTTTTTCTTTTGAACAATGACGATTTTGCGAATCTTTCTTGTGTTTTGCAAAAACAAACAGACAACTCATACTGGCTACTTCGTACAACAAATATCACAGAGATTTTTTTCAAAGATATGAACCTATTACCGGTTCATATCGGTAACAGGTATGATTTTTTTTTTTTTTTCAATTAGGTCTTTGGGTTTATGTGCTCTAGAACTGCAAATGCAACTTCTGCTTTCCAGAGAGACTGAAACCGTTATCTGAGAATGTTTCAGATACAGTGACCTTTACCATTTTCTCCACCAATTCAATAATCAAAGTAGAAGCAGACTTCAAAGGCATTCCTACTCCTAAGAACCTTTAAAAAGGCTATTTACCCTCAACCTAAAGTAAGCACTTACAGTAATCTATAGAGTTATTATGTTGTAGAAATGCTTACAGAAAGGACACATAAAAACTTAATGTTAAGAGCTGTGGAAAAAAACCTTGAACAGAAAGGCATTTCCAGAAAAGCATAAATGAAGCGATACAAATGTATAAAAATGAGCCAATGAGTGGCTCTCACCAACTGAACCAGTATCAGTGGCCACAAAACAGGAAGCAATCCTTGTATTCTCTGTAAACTGAGTTCAAAGTAACCCCAAAGGCCGAGTGCTATGTTTAAAGCGTCGGTTTCTTATGCTTCAACAGGTATCCAATGAAGCTGCACTCAACATTTGTAACCTAACTTACCCAGTAATACACCAAAACCCATCCTGCAGAGCACAGAGGTAGACAGAAGCCATTCAGCTACAATCACAGAGTGAGGACCTCCTGATGAGAGAAACAGATTAACAGTGAAACAGGCCTGACATGATCAATTAGAAACCGGTGGCCATGGCAACAGATGCACAATTAAAACACTGTAAAACGTGTAATTAGACTAAGAGAGGTGTATCTCTGTCACAACTACTGAGCTTGTTTTCAGTCAAATGAGGTAACACTTTGCCACAAGGAGCGCCATTGTCATAGCAACTGTGTGCAATGTCAATCTGATCAGTAGAAGCTCTTGACTGAAGAGAGCCTAAAAATAAACCCAGTAGGGATTAATAGCCTAGGTTTTATTACTTCATAATGTAAGCTCTTTTGGAATATGACTTTTTTTTTTTCATCCATCTATCCGAGTTACGAACCATGAGGGAGGACAATCAGAGGTAGTTTCACTCCTTCCTTCACTTCTTTTGGTTTCATCAGCACAGCTTCATAGTCAATGCCCGCTGAAATACAGTAAAACATGTTAGCAGCATGAATTAGTACAAGTAGCAGAGCTTAGAATAGCTTACAAATAGTTACACTACTGTGTTGTTTGCAAGCATATTAGCAATATTTTCTATGCATTTGATCTTTCACAAACAAAATCTGCGCTGGGGTTAAACAATATTTCATCACAAGTATGGATGCCGTTGTTAAAGCATTGAATATTGTGCAGGTATGACTTCTACTATCCACCCAAGAACATTTCAACATTTCAGAACCCAAACTGTAAAAAAAAGCAAAAAACTCTTGAGTTAAGAAGAGAATCTTGTACATTTTTTGATATATATTAGTTAATCAGTTAAGTAGACTGCAGCAAAGAATTACCAATTTGCTTTGTTGCTACTGTGGAAATAAGAAAAATTAGACAAAACACATTTTAAAAATTAAATGGAGTAAATTATCAAAAAGCTGAGAATAAAAGATATATATATATATATATATATATATATATATATATATATATATATTTTTTTTTCTCCACCACTCTAATAAATACAACTTATACAAGAAAGTAAGACTTTATGTCACATGTTAGTTTTCTGGAAACAGTCTCCTTAAAAATAAAAATAAGCAGCAACCTGAGTGGCACCTATACACTGCCTGATATATTTTACAAAAGACAGTTGCCTATTAAATCACATATAGTTTGAAAATAAGACCATTTTTTGTGGTTTAATTGTGAAGTTTAATAACTGAAACAAAAAGGGAAAAAAAATAAGGTCACTTCATATTATAAAACTAGAACGGGCAACAAAAAAGTTACAGTTCTTAATAAATATTACTTCATGAATATTCCAAAGAGTTATCTTACGATATTGATGGTTGTCTAGTCCTTCTGAGGGAGTGAAAGTCTTGATCTGCCAGTCAATATCTGGTAAAGTCTGAGACTCTTCCAAAGTAACCCAGACCACTTCCTCTTGGGAATCCTTTCCTGGAAGGAAGCCCACCCTCTAAACAACAA